GGCAAATTTCACCCATACAAAATTATGCCAATGTCTTTAGGTGCCAGCATAGACTATTGCATTGGTTTTGGAGTCCAGGGAACTCTAACTTTCCCACATTAGAAATACATTATAAACTGAATTAACACAAAGCTTATGTTAATGTGACCTCACAAGTATATTTAGTTTATGGAATGTACCTGCCAGAGGTCTTTCTAAATTTCAACATGCTCTTGGCATAGTTTCTAAAGATGGTGTGTGTAGTATATTATACTTAATGATTTATAAAATATACCTATATAAATTAAGTAATTTCTAGCAGCTGCTCATGTATTTGGTTCTGCTGAAAAGCTCGACTTTTTTTTTTTTTTGATGCCTGGTTAGATTTCTGTCTGGAATTCATTCACACCCACACACAGGCTTAGAGTGGGCTTGGAGTATTAGCCTTCTGCAGCATAGCTGGAAAATACCTACTGAGCCTGAATGAATCAGAATATATTTGTTTGAAAACTTTCCCCCGTTGTTGGATTTTCATTATCTTGTCTACCTTCCATTTCCTCCCCCTTAAGGAACAAGGGAAGACACCAATATTTTTAATTGTATTTTTGCCACCAATATTTTTAATTACCTAGTGCTTTTCCAATTAAAAATATATAGCTGTTTATGAAATGATAAATTATTCTAATTTAGATGGAAAAATTAATAAATCATGAATAGTCATAACAGGGAAATTCACCCTAGGGAACGCATTCATTTACTGTGTATCCTTTGAAGACATAAAGCAATTAATTTTCATATTTTTAATCATTTCCATTTCCAATTTCCTATTTACGGTATCAAAGATATTTGTCTTTAAACAAAGTATTTATCTATGAGAACCATTTTTCTCTTTCTGCTTAGACTCCCACTCCCACCACAAACCTCTGTTGGGATCCACTAGCAAATTCCTAGATATGAAATGAAGAATGAATGTTGTATTCAATTAAAACTGCAGAGGGAATTTAGGTAAGGAGAATGTAATTACCCATGTTAGTACTACATTAAGAAACTGATTGAAATAAATCTATCATTATATGAGGCAATCTGTGCATCATTCTAATGATATAGTTGACGTTAGATGACCACATAAGCCTTGCATTTTCCATTTCTAAAGAAGAGGGTAGCATCAAATTAATCCATGAAGTTTGAAATGGGAAAACTTAAAACAAAACACAAGCTTCTTGGGAAACTTGATGACTCCTAGGATTAGTAATGAAATGCAGAGACTTTCAAGACTAGGTTGCTGCTTCAAATCCAGATCAGGTTAGTAATAGATTTTACCCTGCATACCCAGGCTATACATTTCTTTTTCCATAGCATTTCTAAGCAATTCACCCTTTTCTTTCTGTCCAGGCAGCCATAGTACTTGTCCTGGTCCTCACCATCTTCCATGTTCCTTATTCTAACTTCTTCCTCTCAGCTTCTCTAATACCTATCTCATGTCCATTTGGTCCATACAAAATGATGCTCCTAAGATCTTCTTTGTACATCTCTCTGATCACATCACTCCTCTCTTTAAATCCTTCCGCTAGCTCTCCCTGTTTCATTGCATCAAGTTTAAGCTTCTTGCCCTTCACCACTCTGCCTGTCTGCACTTGCTTCTCTATATTTGCCTCTTATTGTGTAGCCTCCCTCCTTTTCTGTGCTCTACTAACAGTGCCAGTCTGTCTGTCCATTTGCTTCACATCCAAGCATCTCTGTGCCTTCTTCCATACTGCATTCCTTTATGCATGGAATGCACTCCCTGAATTGCCCCATCAGGTCACTACCCTCTCTTCATAACCCTGTGCACCTCTGCTGTGAAACTTAAAGAAATCATCCAATTAATGATGTCTAGGATGAATGGCTCCCATACTGGCAGTGTGGCTGAGACTGAAGTACTCTCACACCTAGGGCTCCCTCCAGGTCAGAGCTGAAACATATTTGCAGGCAGTATGAGGAAGCCTACATTACTGTTGCTTGTTCTATAACTATTCTTTTCACTACCAGAGTTTTCAGTCCAGCCACTTTTAGAGTATACATTTAATATTACAAAGGCATCAATCCCACTTTGATATAGTGCTTTTAATTCTTCACATGAAAGGCACTATGGGCCTAATCCAACTCCCATTGAAGTTAACATCAATTTTCCCATCGTTTTCAGTGGCAGCTGGATTTGGCCTCATATAAATTCCAATTGTTATAATTAACTTTAGACAATATCAAAAATAAATAGCTTGCGATGGTGTAAAAAACAGTAGAGCTGGTAACACAACCTTATCTTTCACTAACAAGCTATAGAAAGACAATATATACCAACATTTTCCTTTAGGTGTATTTTCTTGATAACAGGGGGAACTCACCAAAATCTTTCAGCTAAGATTTGACTTTTTAGATCTTCCATTTATGAAACAATGACAACAACACAAAACAACTGTGGCTCAGTTATCTATTCTGCCCAAGGGGGCAAGGTGCATTGTCAGGACCCCAGTATTGTTAATAAAAGTGAATGAAACTAGTTATCATGCAAGAGTTAATAAATAAATCATGAAACTCTGTTATGGACCTGATTCAGCAGCATCCCTTACTCTTGCTGAGTAGTACTTATTCATGCATGTCATCCCTTAGAATTCAAGGGGTGTACATGTGTAAGTGCTAGTCAATGTGAATAAGGGTTGCAGAATTGTGCTGTGTGTGAGCTAATGGCTAACTGGGATAGAAGTTTACTCAGAAAAACTTGGAAGAGGTATTTCCAGACAATGGTATGACAGATGTATTTCAGCAGATGTACAATATTCCATGAGAACAAAGTGAAAGATAAAATAGGATTAAAAAAGAAACCTTGAAAAATGCAATATAATGATATGGACCCACCAGCAAGGTCACATGTCCCTGATGAGAAACCCAGCCCTTAATCCCCAGCTACTATGAAAGCACTATGCCCAGACCCTGCATGAGGAACTATGACTAATATGTTGTCTACCTACCCCTCTCTAGCTGCTGGAAAGGAGAGAAGGCAATATTTCTGTCTTTCCATCCTCCCTAGAACCTCCTGGTTACTGGGGATAGAGAGAACCCTCTACTCTCCCTATCCAGCCTTCTAGTTATTATGCAGAGAAGTGATGCCTTGCTATTCTACACATTCTTCGGCCTCTGGTATTCAGTATTTTGTGGGTTCCTCTGCCATAAATACCTCCATTGCTTGCCACTGCATCATAGCTTTCCTAAGAGCAATAGCAGTGTGAAATAGACAGGACTCCTGCTGTGCCAATCCGTGCGGTTCTAAACTGTAGCATTGCAACTAATGAAAGTCTTCCCAAATTTAGCTCTGCTTCTGTTTGGTGAAGGTGTGAGCAGTGATGGCAACCCTAGATCTTCTCTTTGCAGTGGCATGAAGACAGCACTGTATTGGTTCACCTTTGAAAGGTGAATCTTCAAAACCACAAGGGCTAGAAACCATTTACTTTAAAAAGTGGAAACTTTCATCCTGAAGAAACTGATGTTTTAACTCTAGCTCACTGTTCCCCATGTATCTCCCTCTCATTAGGAAAAGTTTTCTATACCTGAATATAAAAGTTATCAAGAGGTCGATTTAAAAACAGCTATCAAAGTCCTTTAGCTCTGTCAGATGGAAGCTTCTATTTGCAGGGAGACAGAAGTGTATTAGCGTTCTCAGCCGGCTTGCCACTCCTCCTCTTTGTAGCAGGTTAACAAAATTTGTTTGCTTCCTTTCTTCATCCGCTGGTAGGAGGTCATACTACCTACTGTCTGCACTGGGATATTTGGAAGTTGGAGAAAATAAGATTTTAAAAAATGATTTGATCTTATTTCAAATCAAAACATTGATTTTCCATGTCCTGGAGTGGTTTATAGGAATATTCCCTAGTACCACTAACAGCGGCAGGTTATATCATTTTTGTAACTATTCATGCACTGTACATAATGGGGACATGGCACCTTCTTTTCATTCACTCCCACCCACCTACTGGCTTATGTAGCTGAGCCTTCAGGATTCGGCACTCCGTCCTATGAAATCATGACGCAGAACTGGGTGAATAATGGAAAAATGTTCATTGAATAATTTTATGGTGGGGAAAAAAATCACTGAATTTGCAACCATTAGCAGATCAGCTCCAAGAAGGATACCTCATCCGACCTCCACCAGGGCTGAATTACAACTGTCCAAGGTCTCTTCAGGTGGGGCTGAGACCTTCTTCCTTCCTAGCCCACTACTTTGTCCGCAGCCAGGCGCAGGGAGGCCTGAGCCCAGCAGGGAGTCCTGTGTGTGGTCTGGGGCTCCTGCCACCGCGGCTCTGATGAGAGTGGCAGGAGGGACCTCCACAAGTGACCCTCTGCTGGGGTGGTGGGATTTTTTGGCGACTCCCTCTCTCTCACACACACATAGTCGGAGCCCTCCGCTGGGGGGAGGAGGGGTGCCAGGCAGCTCCTCCCTTCTCACCCCCCATCCCACACACCCCGGGCTTTCTGTTTGCGGGAAGGGGGCCGCGGTTGGGACCCGGGCCCCTTTCCTTGGCCACCCCAATGGGACCCCGCTCCTGCTGCCTGCCCAGGGTGCTGGGGCCAGCGCGGAAACCCAGCCCCAGCTGCACACCCAGAGCCGGGGCTTGGATCGCACCCGGTCCCGGGGCTGATGCGGTTCCCCGCGCCCGCCCCTCTGCCGCCGAGCCCCCACCCGCCGCGTGACGCGGCTCGCTCCGCTCCTGCTCCATCCCGCCGCGCTGCACCGCCGCTCAGAGCGCGGCCTCTTTAAAGCCGGGGCTGAGCCGGTCCTGTCTTCTTCCCCGGCGGGGACCAGCTCGGAGCGGAGCCAGCAGGGGCTGCCCCTCCGCCGCCTACCATCCCCTCGGCCACCTCCCGCTCACACGCGCTGCCGAGCCCTGGTGGCCAGCAGGCGGGAGGCGGCGGGCAGGAGCCGGGGGCAGGGCGCTGCAGCAGCAGGGGGCGGTGGTAGGCAGAGGCGCCGGATCGAAGGGAGGGCGGCCGCTAGGTTCCCAGGCGCAGCCCCTCATGCGTGTCTCCGGGCATGCTGCCGCTGCCCCTGCTAGTCCCCGTCTATGCCTCGTCTGAGCCCCTTGGATCGGGTCTGCGCCTCCCGCAGGGCTCGCCGCGGGAACATGCCGAGCTGAGGAGCGGCTGGAGGCGGCGGCGGCAGCTGGGGCTCTCCCTGTGCCTGGGATCTAAGGGCCCGCGCCGGGCAATGACCCCCCGCTCCTCTGCCTCTGAGGACTGAAGGAGCTCGGGGGGCTCGGCACGCGCCCGCCGCGGAGGGGACGCGCGGCTCCAGCGCTTCAGAGGAATGAGACTGTAAGTCCCGGGAACTTTGTTTCTCTCCGATCGCGGTGCCTTGTGATATGGTCCTGCTGCGGGGAGAGGGTAGCGCCTGTGTACAGTACAGGGGGGCAGGGGCGCCTGAACAATGTATGTAGTGGCGATGCTGAGAGCCATTGTACGAAACTGTAAACCCCATGGAAACCACTTCAAGCCAGGGGGTGGGTGGGTGTGACCAGATAGAATTGTGGAAAATCGGAACAGGTAGGGGGTAATAGGCGCTAATATAAGAAAAGGCCCCAACTATCAGGACTGTCCCTATAAAATCGGGACATCTGGTCACCCTACCCTGCACCCCTAGTTCTGGCACCTATGCAGTGTGTGGGGGTCTTTCTAAATAAAACATCTAACCGAGAAACTATAGCTGCAGAGAGAGACCGTGTGTGTTCAGCCCAGAGAAAGACACCGGGCGGGCAGGCTGGCTGCTTGGCTTTAAACGCGATCCAGTGTCTCCATAGTCAGTTACAGGATAGCTGCAAGTGAGCAAGGTTTGGTCCGCCCCACACGCTCTGCTGCAGATTAGTTATCACAGGCTGGCAGGCAACAGCTCTTCAGCACAGAAAGGGGGATCCTCTGGTGAACACCCTCGCCCACGCCCCTCTGCCCGGCCCGGGGGCTTGCATAGAGGAACAGTCCCGCGCCTCCCCATGCACCCTGTAACTTTGGGGATGAATTTCTAAGCGTGCCGGGGATGGCTCGGCTGCGCTGATCCTCACCTAAGGAGTTGTCGTTTTGACAAGACCTTGAGACAGTCTGCATAATGTTAGGTGGTTAACATGAATGTCGTGCAAGCTAGTGACCATACAGAGTTGGACTGTAAAATCTGAACATTGCAGCGTGTTTGACAGTCTGCGGTTGGATTTAATGTTTCAAATAAGAAGCCATTTGAAATGCTGGCGAAGAGAATTAAGTGATTATCAGTGTAAAGCAGAGGTGGTGTTAGCTGGATGCAGAAGTGCTAATAACTTGGGGTAGGGAGAAGAGGAATCTTGAATTCCAGTTTTAATTTAGCCTTTACACTGACTGGCTGATCATTTCAAATGCAAGATAAATTATAGACAGTAGCAATTATCCATCTCTGAAACACGGGGCATTTAATTGACACCTGAGTCATTACTTAATTATTCAAATTCCTGTCTGAGGATATTTCCATGCTATTTTCCATCTGCCGAACTGATATCAGTATTTTCTATAGCACTTAAAAGCTACAAATATACACTGAGACATTCTGAGCCCTACAAAATATTATTTCTATATTGGCATCTTTGATGAGAAATTAATTTCTTGTGTGCCTATTACTTTACATGCCCGAATACAATCTGAGTACCTTTTGATCTGGTCTTTGAATTGTTACATTTCTTCCTTCCTGGTGGTGTTTCAGCAGACTTCTTGACAAGATTAGGTGGGTTTTTTTAAACCTTTTATTAATAGTGAGAATATTATAGCACTTACTATTTTCCTTTATTTCAGTTACATAATTGTAGTTTTAATTCAAAGGATGAATGCAAAAATAATTGAGGGGGGAGCACAGACAGATACATACTGAGACATATTATTTTAAATATCTTTATAATAAACTCCTTGTTGCCAATATTTTGGTAATCACTCCCAGCTATTAGCATATAGTGTATGGTATTGTCTCCAAAAATATCCATTTCCCCTGCGATTATATAGTAAGAGGAGCTGAATGAGATTCATTGAGGATGGGTTTGACAATTCAGTTTATCCAAATTAATTAATTTTTCTTCAGATATTGGATTAAATCATGCTTCTTGCTCTACTATTAAGACAGGTAATGTGTTGTAGAATCTTTTCATTTGCCCAACTGGAAGGATCTTGTATTGTTCTACTGTTGAGAGAGTATCCATGCTGAACAGCTTAAGATTTCTCTTTTACTAACAACCCACATTGTAGGTAATGGTTAGTGGAAGGAATACTTTAATTTACTATTCAGAATTCTAGACGTATTTGCCAAGAAGGTAAATTAAATGCATGAAAGCTAATGTTTCATTTGAATCTCTTCAGATATCTGACAACCTTTAGAAGTAGGTGACCTCCAGTAAGTTATCTTTGTGATATGTACAGTTACTGTCATGCTGGTTGATAGCAAATTATTCTAGATAAACCGAAACCTGACACTTCAGTTCCTTGACTTATTTTTTAAATAGTAGCTTCATGGAAAAAGCTCTGCTTAAGATATTTGGGTTTAAATCTTGGTCCCATTGAAATCAATGGTAAAACTCCCATTAACTCCAATAGAGGCAGGATTTCACCCTTGATTTTTATCATCATTTATTGCTGAGTGCCAACTAGCTTTGAGTTGAAATTGACACGACAAAGTCTAAATTAGATTAGTGACAGAATTTACAGCTCTCCATAGAATTGCTATTGCATACTGGGCTATGCTTAATAAATATAAAGAAGTATTCCATATTCAGTAAGTAGCATTATGTTTTTAAAAAGAATAGACTGCTCAGACTTTAAATCTCTTGTCATATAATGTAAATCAGAATTCTCTGTTGAAACTTTTGTCAGAGCTCATCATAAATAAGTTATAGCAATTTGGTTTTGCCCCATATTTTTAATAGAGTAAACTAACGAAAAAAGTTATGCAAAATACAATTCAGAAATTATTTATTAATATTAGACTATCTTTAGAACTGGTTGAAAATTTAGAGCTTTATTAGGCTCCAGTTCTACAGGGTGGCTTTAATGAGGGGGGCCCTAACACCTTCAAGAAAGGCTCAGAACCTGGCAGGTTTGAACTGTTAATGGTTAATTTATTTGCCAGATGATAATCAAAATTAGCTGATTAAACTCTTTGAAACTATGATTTGATGGATTCTGTTGTTGTTGGTTTTTTTAAGACATTTACTTATGATTAGAGCTGGTCAGTTTTGATAAGGTTGAGAATTCGATGAAAAAAGAGAGAAATAGTCTGCAAAATTTATTGTTGAAATTTCCTTCCAATTTTCTACAAGCACAAAACAAATAAAACCTTTCACTTAAGACCTAGTCTACTGTTCCCACTCTGCTAAATTTGTGTTACAGTCTCAATGTCTGTAATGTTCCATGTATCAGAAGCAAGATTGGTATATTGATGGATAGACCACCTTTATATAATAACTAGAACAAAAAATAAGAAAGACCCCATCAGCAATGCACAAAATTAGAGGAAGTGAAAGTTTGAGATGGTTTAGATTTTCCTGAATACTCACTGGATATGAAAGAAGATTCTGGGTTTCATTTTAAAAAATCATGTCTATGTATTAGATTTTCAAGAAAGTGAGGGGCCAAATCGTAGAATTTGTTTCAACCATGTATAATACAGACAGGTATCATGCACACTTCTCCTCAAGCTCTGTCAATGCACATCAGTTCTAGAGATTAAAAATGAACCCCCACAAACTTCTATGTACTTGTGACAAAATGGTTCAGTCCTGTTGCCATTGAAGTGAATTTTGAAACTCCCATTAACTTCAATATGTAGGATTGGTTCCCTGAGGATTGATCATTCAAAGTACTGAGCAATTTCAGCTCACAAGTATTTGTATTATGGTAGCACCAAGAGGCTGAGTTGGAGACCCCATTGCTAGACCCTGCACAAACACAGTAAGGATCCCTGTCCTGAAGAATTTATAATCGAAATAGTCAAGACAGACAAAGGATGACAGGGGAAATGACTTTCCTAAGGTGATCTAGCAGGTCAGTGGCAGAACCAGGACTAGAGCCCAGATATCTTGACTTAGACTAGTATCCTGGACCACATCGCATCCTGAGCACTCATTAAAGTTGATGGGAGTTGAGGCTGCTTGCACCCAAAACACCTTTGACAGCCTGAGCCCTACATGATCATTTAATGAATGTGTCCAGAGGGGAATAACTAATGTACTATGTTACCTAACTCTGATCTAGTTTTTAGTTAACTTCACTATTTACTAATAATAGCCTGCCAAAGAACAGCATATAATTACATATTATTTGTTCTGTGCTGTTTTTGGTCTTCACACCCACTTTTTGTTTTGTCATTGCTTTTAATTACTTTCACACCAAGGCATGGAGTGGGTTTGACTGCTAGAAGCATGTATTTCAGGAGTGTAACAAATGCCAGGAATATAATTTCTTGGCTCTAAATGTACCTTCTTTCTTACAGACATTGTAGCAAATAATTCCAAAAATTCAGAAGTACTAGAAATAAATCTTCCTAAAATTTAATTTTTTTTCTGGTGCAGAATAAGTAGTGGTGAAAAATTATAGGGTCCAGTTGTGCCATTTATTTCAATATGGAGTGCTGACTAAAATTCAGTATCACACTATGGTCCATGGTTCTACTAGGTTCTAGATATTTTTCTTTGTACTATAGATGAAAATCATGCATGTATAAAGGTCCATGCAAGGCTTCTTATGGTAAGGTTCAACTGATGATAGAGAGCATGGTTGGAGCAACTATATAGGGGACCCTCTGCTCCCTTCCATACTATATCAGGGATCTCCACACTGTCCCCACATAGGCTGATGGTAAAGGTTAGTCCACAGAGTGGGGGTGGAGATATTTGGGTTAGTCTACAGACTTGGGGTGGGACAGGATCTATGGTTCTGTGGATCCAGTGTAGCTAACACTGCATGCAAATGGCCCAGAGGGGAAATGGCCATTATCTCAGACAATAGACACATATCGTCGTCAGCAGTAGCTGCAGCAGCGTCGATAAAAAAATGATTGATTTGATATCCACCCCGCAACTACAATTTGGAAACCTAGTCAAGAGGACAGGAGCCAAATCCACTACAGATACTGAAAAGCTTTAATTTGGGCACATTGCAACTGGGCCTCCTTTTAACCAACACAGTACCCAGAAGTGTCTCAGAGGTCTTCCTGGAGATGTTCTCATAATGTATATGCCTACTGTACTGATTGGCCTGGCCCCTGGACCAGTGAACTATTCAGCTGGGACCAGTATTATGAGGATAAGCACAAG